AACTGCCATGTCATTGGTTGATTAGATAATTGCATTAATGAGAAATTGAACAGGTGTTCCTAATAATCCTTTAGGTGAGTGTATATATATATATATATTATTATTTTATGTATTTTTTTATTTTTTTTTAATACGGTGGCCCTAATATGTTGTCGTGGGGATCAGGCTTATGACTGGCTGAAAGAGCCACTCCCAGTTTTCATGTGAGACCTTAATGCTGGGCCCCAGTCTGATCGATGCAAGGCTCATCCTGTCCTTACAGCAATATGGCCTGGAGGTCACAGACGACAACCAGATACTGCTGGTTAGCAATGTGAAGAGGCTGGGGCCATCAGGTCAGCCGCCGCCAGGCCCAGCGCTTCTGGTCCCCGAGTTCTGCTACATGACAGGTAAGTGTCCCCCCACAGATTGCACTTTTCCACTTCTACGTCTTCTCAGGTCTGACGGACAAGATGCGCAACGACTACAACATCATGAAGGACCTCGCATCACACACACGGCTGACCCCCGAGCAGCGTGAGAGCCGCCTCTCCCGCTTTATCGGCAACATCCACAGGTTTGGACCCCATCCCCATGTGGTCATCCCTATCCTCGTCCCAGTCTGGTCATCCCTTTCCCATTGTTCCCATCTGGCTGCTCGCCGCCTATGCACCAACCCTCACAGCTGCCCCCTTTCTCAGGAGTGCGGATGTCCAGAAGGAACTTGGCAACTGGGGACTCAACTTCGACAGCAAGCTACTGGAACTGCGGGCTCGTGTACTCCCAGCTGAGAGGATCATGCAGGGCTCCAGGACGGTGAGCGAGAGGGAGGGGTGTCCTTCCCACATTGTCCTGGAGCACTTGTGTGTAAAACCAGGGGAACCTGATGGGATAACTGGTGCTAAGGGACAAGATCACCTGAGGTACCAAGGGAGCCCCCAGAGACTAATTGGCCATGACTGACGCGTTAATGATGGCTCTGCTCCTTACAGTACGAGTATAACCCCTGGGCTGCCGATTGGTCCAAGGAGATGAGGGGCTTGTCACTGATTAACTCACGTCCACTGGAGAATTGGATGATGTTCTACACGCCCCGGAACTACGAGCAGGCACAGGCGCTGCTGCAGACGCTGGGCCGTGTGTCTGGCCCGCTGGGGATTCGCTTGCAGCGTGCTGTCATGTAAGAGTCGGGCTGCCGTGGTCCATTTAATGTTTCTGTGGTGCTTTATGGTCACAGAAGGGATGGGTCTCATCTGCATACTGTAATTGGACCTTTGCAGGATTGAGTATGAGGATAAACAAGAGTCCCTGTTGAGGGCGTTGCAGCAGAATGTCGGCCCTGGAACGCAGATGGTGAGTCTGACAGGCATGTTTGACTGCCACATGTTGGTGGAAAGGGCAATTGGAAGACAGATGGGATTCATTTGAGCTAGATGAGTATCAACACTTTTTAGGTACATCTGTCACTTACATGTGTTCTGCTATTCCCCTCTCCTCCTGTAGGTGGTGTGCATTCTAGCCACCAACCGCAAGGACAAGTATGATTGTGTGAAGAAGTACCTGTGTGTGGAGTGCCCCACCCCCAGCCAGTGTGTGCTGGCTCGCACCTTAGGTCGGCCCCAGGCCCTCATGACCATAGCCACCAAGATTGCTCTGCAGATGAACTGCAAGATGGGTGGGGAACTCTGGAGCGTTGAGATTCCGGTGGGCTTGTCCTTCATGCCGGGGGTGTAACTCAGGGGCCAGGGTTACACTGAGCCCATATCAGGGGAAAGGTTTTTGAGCCGGTAACACTGAGCTTGGCTGCTCCAGACACTCAACCCTGACTTCTGCTTTGGCAGCTGAAGCAGCTTATGGTGGTCGGCATCGATTGTTACCATGACATCTCGGCGGGGAGGAGGTCCATTGGGGCATTGGTGGCTAGCCTCAACCCAGGGATGTCACGGTGAGCCCCCGTGTTATTCCCATTCTTTCTGTCTGTCTGTCTGTCTGTCTGTCTGTCTGTCGGAGTCACTCATATTACTTGTTGCGCTCACAGGTGGTTCTCCAAGTGTGTCCTTCAGAGCCGAGGTCAGGAGATCATGGACAGCCTAAAGGGGGCACTGGAAGGCAAGCAGATTGGATTGGGGGACTGGGGATAAATGAAGCCTTGCTTGGGGTTCTGCTCACACTCGTAGGGATATCAGTCGGCCTTGCTACCTTGCTCACACTCGTAGGGATATCAGTCGGCCTTGCTACCTTGCTCACACTCGTAGGGATATCAGTCGGCCTTGCTACCCTGCTCACACCCGTAGGGATATCAGTCGGCCTTGCTACCTTGCTCACACTCGTAGGGATATCAGTCGGCCTTGCTACCTTGCTCACACTCGTAGGGATATCAGT